GGGCCCCCATGAGAATATAGTATTCTCTAGTATTGCAACCTTTTTTATTGGTAAGGGGCCCCCGGAATTGCTTTGCCCCAGGCCCCCTAAATCCTCTGGGCGGCCCTGGCGAAATCCAGCTGGTGCCAGGGCAGCCTGTGTCCTTGGCTAGAGTGGGGCACACGCTGCGATTCTCTCCAGGGGGCCCCCGCATGGCCGGGGGGGGGCCCGGCGGGGGATGCTGGGATATTTGGTGTTTCTCTGTGTTTGGGGGCAGGGGGTGTGGATTGGTTTTTTTTAAGCCTGAGTTTTCGTCTCCTAATAAACTATTTTAGAAGAAAGGGCTGTGGAGTTTGGCGGGGGTGGAACCAGGAAGGTATACGGGGTTGGCCAACACTGGGACGGCCAAAGGCCAGCACCCGACCGCCCGCGGCTTTCCACCCCCCACCCCCGAGGACGCTTCCCCTGCACTCTCCCTCTGACCGGATTGTCAGACGCACCGAGCACCCAAGTCAATGGGAGCTGCACAGGCTCCGAAAAATCTGCCCCATGGGGGACGGGCAGGGCACCGTGGGGAGGGGGCTCCCTCCTCCTGCAGATTCCCCTGGCCCGGCTTCCTGCTCCACCAGTGCCCGCCTGGCTTTACGCTGTCCTCCTTGGCACTCACTCATGGATGGGGGGGGGGCAGCAGAAGCGAGCTAGCACAGACTTGGAGGGGTGAGCAGCTGGGGGAGGGATGCCCGGGCAGGGCCGGATAAACGTGTCCAGGATCATACGGTTGTAGCTGGCTGAACAACAGAGCAGGGGCCTGGTAGCACTTCCTGGGCGGTGGGGGCTGAGGGCACACGGGTCCTTGGGAGTGGCAGACCTGTGGGACTGAAGGAGGAGGGGGCAGGTACAGAGGTGTGGGGCTGGCGCAGTGAGAATAAGGAAGCGTCGGCCTTTCCTTGCTGGAGACCTGGCTGCAAATCCCAGCGGAGGGTCACGGGCCAGGCAGGTGCGTGCGTCACAAATGCAACCACGGCTCAGTAGTGAGTAAGGGTCGGGGCAGAAGGGGGCCTCCAGCAGGCATGTCCCCTTCGTTCCTAGAGGGCAGCAGTCCAAGTCACCCCCATTGCTGGCTGACTCCCCTCTGCCCACCAGGGCAGGGCAGGGCAGGGCCCGGAGATAACCAGAAGATTCAGTCTCCAGGGCTCTTAGGTTTGGTCTTATACGGCGTGTCTACGCTGCAATCAGCCACCTGCGGCTGGCCCGTCCAGCTGACTTGGGCATGCAGGGCTCGGGCGATGCTTGGGCTGCGGCCGGAGCTCTGGGACCCTCCCACCTCTGTTGTTAATGGCCGTGTCAACCCACCCTTAGAGACTACACCACAAGGACTCTTGGGTCCAGTAGGACCCTACCCGGGGCGAGCTGATTATCCCATAACGGCCCGGCATCCTGGAAAGCCCAAGTCATGTTGTATTTCTTCCCCGCACGGTGCACCTGGTCTGGGGCAGGCCCAAAACACAGTCCCACGTCACACCGCACACCCCTGCTCCAGCATCTTCTGCCACATCCAGACTCCACCTTGGTCTCCACCTGCCCTTTCAGCAGCACGGCTGCCCCAGCCTTCCCTGCAGGAGACCTTCCAAGCATCTCCCTGACTTCCAAGGTTGGCAGAGTAGCACCACCGCTGGTCTAAGGCCCTCAGCCCTCTCCCGGCCCTGGCCCTCCGGCAGCAGACTTACCCCTGTGCTGCTTTGCTGTCCTCAGCCTCCCCCAGAGCCCTCCTGCCCTTCCTTGGAAAGGCCCCTCCCCTGGAAAGGCCCCTCCCCATTCACACCTGTCTTCCGCTCACGATTAGCCCCAGCTGTCACCTTGCTCTTTAATCAGGTCCTCCTGGGGGGCACGTGTGCTGGCAGAGAGGTGCTGGCCCCTCTGCACTTAAAGGGGCCAGTCACCCAGGGGCTGCAGGAGGGCAAACGCGGTGCCCAGGTATCTGTGTTGCCACTTGTCCAGCTGTGAAGGATGGGGAGGGATAGCTCAGTGGTTTGAGCATTGGCCTGCTAAACCCAGGGTTGTGAGCTTAATCCTTGAGGGGGCCACTTGGGGATCTAGGGCAAAATCAGTACTTGGTCCTGCTAGTGAAGGCAGGGGGCTGGACTTGATGACCTTTCAGGCTCCCTTCCAGCTCTAGGAGACGGGATATCTCCATATATTAATATTAAAGGAGCAGGGTGGGCGTCCCAGCCCCATTCTACATTGGATCATGACCAAGGGATTCCTCCGCTCTCCTCTGGAGAAGCGGGTGGGGCAGCCCAGAGGTGGCTGCATTCCAGCAGAGGGAGAGGGAGTTCTGCCTGTGGAGGCCGCACGCTGCTCTAGGAGCCTTTGGGTAGCGATGCTCTAGAAAAGCGAAACCAAGAAGTAGCATCATCTCCATCGCTCTGGGCGTTGGACGCTCGCCCTCCCCACGTAACCTAACCACACGCTTCGGGGCGCAGCATCTCCTTCATTACCTGCAGCACTGAGCAAGGGGCCCGCTGTACCAGAGGAGCTTTCCCCTTCCCTTCTAGCACTAGGCCTGGGCCCTGGCTGGAGACAGACCTCAGCCTTGCTAGGCCAACGCCTTGTCCCTCTGCATTCAGCTTTCCTCAGGCGAGGTCCTGACCACAATGTGGGTGGAACCGAGGGGCTGTGAGATGCCACGGCTGGGGGGGCGGCGCTTTTACCCTTTGATGCCTGATAGATAGATGGAGTTTGCCACAGACACCCTGGGCTCCTGACTGGCATCGAGAGAGAAGAGTGCGAGGCTGGTTGGTGTGAGCAAACAGGCCAGCCAAGGAGAACGTGGGGAGGGGAGGGAGCACATTTCTGGTGGGCAGGAAATCAGGGCTGGGCATTGTTATGAAAGAGAGGATTTCCCCTGGTGTCCTTAGCGTCCGCTCTCCCCTCCACCCCAGAAGTGGCTGCATTTCAGTGGCTGCGTGTGGCCAGGGACAGATCCTGAAGTCCTGGGCTTGGGCAAACTCCCCTTAACGGCAAAGGGAATGTGCCAGAGTGCAAACTGAGTAAGGACCCTTGGGATTTGGCCTTGATGTGGCAGCAGAAGTTGAGCAGGGCAGTCACGGATCGGGCATGACAGAGAGAAGCTGGATCAGTGGGGAAGAAGGCGGAGCAGAGCTCCACCCAGTCAAAGGGTCGTTAGGCTGTTAGGAGCCTAAATACTCTGAGGATCTAGGCCTCTGTCCCTGAGCCACACGCAGCGTTCCTGCCTGATTCCCGTACCCCGGGTGAGCACATTCCCGGGCTGGCAGTTCCCTGGGGCCTGCGCTCCCGAGAACAGCTCTGCTTGTTCGCAGCCCTGCCTTGCTTTCGTCCTCAGCCTCAGTTATCCTCAGGCATCAATCTGCATCCCGAAATGAAATGGATGGAGCAGGGGCTGGGCAGAGCAGCTGACTCCGTAAGGGACGGCAAAGGCATGGGGCCACGCCCCCACAGCGCCTCCCAGAGTCAAGGAGAGGTGTGGCGCCTCCGGGAACTGCCAGCGAGGTCCAGAGACTAGAGCACTGGATGGGGACTCACGAGACCAGGGAGCTAGTGCCAGCTCTGCTACGGCGCTGCTGTTTGACCTTGGGTGAGTCACTTTGCCTCTTGGTCTGTTGAGATTGTCAGCTCTTTGGGGGAGGGCTGCCTCTTCTTCTGTGTTTGTACAGCACCTGGCGCAGTGGGACCCTGATCTTGGTTGGGGGGAGCCTCTTGGCACCACCATAATAATGAGGGGCTCCCAGGGTCAGGTTCTTTGGCTCTTCTCTTATTCAGGCATAACCCCCCTAGAGCGCAATGGAAGTTTTGCCCGAGTAAGGACAGCAGGACGACGCTAACGCAGAGGCGCTGTGTGGAAGGAGCAATGCACGGCGCTGGCTAGTGGATGTAGCCAGCCAGGGCTCTTGGTGCAAAAATGCCAATAGTCACTTCTCACACCCTTGGAGTCGGGGCAAGGCTGATTAAAATGCACCAGCCACCAGAGCTGTCATTACTGCCCTGGATAAGAAGGGCTCGAGGATGAAAATTGCAGCCTCACCCAAGGACGCTTTGCCAGGCTTAGAAGCGGATGCCAATCCCATTGCAGGGGGGACGGGGGGATGAGCTCAATTTGCAAGTCATTGGTTTTGTTCGGAGCTGCGGAAGCCCGGGGGGTTCATTCGTCTTCGGTCGCAGGGAGCGAGCTGGCTGAGTGCGCCAGAGTGCAGCCCAGCGGGGATGGGGGGGGTGGGGGGGTGAGATGGAGCCGCCTTTGAAGGGACAGTTCATGACGCTGAGGGCATGTCGACACTCCAAACTGGCAGTGCATGTCCTTAGGTCACCTGGAGCGCTTCCACCGACCTAAGAGGGGCAGTGTGGGGAGCGGACAGCCCGGTCTCTCAGCTCCACTGGCAACTCCCTGTTGGACCCCGTCTGCCCCACAGGTCCCCGGCACGTTGTGTCCCCCCCCCCGCTCCCTATTCCCTGCCTGTCAGTGCAGTAGGGTGGGAAGAAGGGGACGCTATGGGATGAGAATTTCAACCGTTAATTCTCCCTTTCGTCCTTCCCTGCCAGGAAATTAGTCATGAATTTCTTCTCCACGCACCACCTACTCTGCAGTCCCTTTGCCAACAGGGCCTTGCAAATGCGTGCGGTTGGAAAGTTGTACCGTTCGGGTACGTCTACACTGCAAAAAAATGGTGAGCGCCTAACTGGGGCTAGCTACCGCGGGGCAAACTCGAGTTCAGCCCCCGGCTCCTCCGTGGGCTTTCCCTGGAGCTGCTCACCCATGCGGCTGCGTCTTCACTGCTCTTCTCACCTGAGCAAGAGAACCCGAGTTCAGAACGTGCCTTGTTTTGGCAATGTAGACGTACCCTG